AGCTTGGCGGAAATACTAAAATGGCGACGCGACCCGGTGCTGAAAGCGATTGTCCGGCTATTTTGATGGCGAAGGCAGGAGCCAGGACAGCCAGGTTGAGCGGTAAGATCGCAAGTTAATTTTCGCCAACACAGTGACAATCTCAGGGATTTTAAAAAGCACGGCTGACAGAGTTTTTGGGGCTGCGGGAGACCGCATCAAAACTAGGTTTCGACGACATGTCGATCACATTTTAGTGAGAAATGAAAATATGTACTGAGAAATGAGAAATGGCCCAAATTATATCTGAGAAATTGAGAAAAGGCCTAAAAAGTTTACGTTTACGAAATTGGGGTACCCCATCAGGACCCTCGTAAATATCAATGTCTGTTCTCCTGATACAGTATTTATCAATTTAAAAAGAAAATGTTTAAATGCCTTGTCATTCAAACATTAAATAAGTACTCTCGGTAGCATTAACAGTTAAGTTGTAAGTGTTATCGTACAGTTAAACATTAGCATTAACAATTTAACTTTAAAGCGACTGTTTCTGACAATTGGGCGCCCTGCAGGACCTGTTGGCTCTACTTTGTCATATCAATTCACACATCGTGGAGTACAGTCCTGTTTTTGTTTTTTGGTATTGTCCGATATTCGATTATTTGTTTTTATAATCGATTATCGAAATTGAGACTAAATCGAGTCGATTTTCGATTATAATCGACATCGGACATCACTACTAAGAACCCCATTGAAGTGGGGTTAAAACCCGAAAATAATGTGAGTGGTCCTTAGCAGAAAAGGAATTAATGGATATTAACATGTTCTCAGTCTTTTAAGGTGCCGAAAATAACAATATTCTGAATATCCAAAATCCCATTTTTTTGATAGGTTTTTGGCAAAAAGGGTTAATCTGGCCATGTTTAATTAGATCTGACAGGTAAAACATTGTTTTCATAAAAGGCAGACATCCTAAACGGAAATCTAACGATACCTCATTTGGCCTTTTTCTAAAGTGGGGAGGGGTCGAGCTAAATTTTTTGCTCTCAGTCGCTCCACTAATCTGCTTTGATAACGACAAAGTTTCCAATCTAGTAATGCGGGCGTTAAGTCCAACTTGAAGAAGTCATGATAGAGTATTTATGAAACAATTGTTTTATGTTAATGTTATGTGTAGAATAAGACCGTGTGATATTGTGTTAAAATTACTTGTGTTGGCTCAGAATAACAGAAAACATATACACTATACACATCTATAATTGTGGTAAGGGGTGTTCCTCTAGCAATCCTAAGCATATATAACACGAACATATCTATTCAAAGTAACATAATCTAACAAACCATATATACAGATATACATAACTATATTACTTCTATGTTAGTACAGGTACAGGCCACCCGATTTTCTGGACACTGAATGGCCGGCGACCTTCTTTTTAGTCGCGGATAAAAATCACACGAGTGGCACCACCCTTTATCAAAATAAATATAAGTGATTCTGTTCCTTTTTATGTTAAATTGCTGCATTATACTTCCTATTTTGCTATTCTGTTTGACGGCAAACAAACATTTGTGCTCATACATAGCCCTATAAGCAATTATTAATGTCGTGATCAATATATCAAATCGCCTCAGGTTTTTTGGATTTTTAAGATTGTTGAGAAACGAATCTATCAGGTAGAATTTGAGGATACAATTTAGTAGCCGTTAGTACTGTACGTTTTTCATTGTCATTAAAAAATGCAACAAAAATTTAAAAATTTTACAAAATAATATACACCATAGAAAATTTGCGACGTAGTCATTCTAAGGATTACACTGACTCTAGGTTCAAATTAACCTACAAAAATTTCATTGTTCAATATTTATTAGAAATATTTTTCTGTTTTAAAGTAACAGCTGTATCGTTTCTTACAATGACCGGTGGCGCCACTACATAGTACTACCCATCTACTTTCAACGTTAACATATCGTTAACGTTTTTG